TGCAACCACAACTGTTTCTGAGGAGCTACATTGTTTGGTGGAAGAATACTGTTTTTATTAATATCATTACACTTTATTTGCTCTGTTTTATTTTGTGAAACCTTACTACGTATATGGAATAACCGTTTTATAAAAGCAATAATCCCAGTGAAGCCGTGGTTTACGGTGAATTTATAACAACTCCGCGTCGTGCCTAACAACACTCCTTAGCTATTATAAATTCACTGTAAACCACGGCTTCACTGGGCTTATTGCTTTAGTATTTGGGTGTATTTTGGGACTTGCACTGAGAAATTAAATACCATGTTTTCTGCAAAATAAGTTGTGTTTTTTATCATCTGAAATGTGCTGATTCCAAAGCGACTTATATAATGCAATAAATTATCAAGCATTTGTTACGTGAGCCCAAGTTTATTTGTATAGCATAAATCCCACATGCTGGTAGTTTAACTTCCACTTAAATAAATTAGTCGATTCTTTGTGTTTATAATAAATGCTGTTTATAATGAACATGCCACTATAGTTTATGCTTGTTTTATATTTATTAGGCTACATTATATTTCATTCCTGTTCTTTTCTGAATACCATTAGATTTCAAGCATTTGTTGTGGAATATAAAATACAGTATAGCATTTGGTTTCATTTACCAGTATTTTACGTTGTTTTTGCATGATATAATAAAATGTGATTTATACACTGATTCAATTTATCTTTTTATTTTTTTATTTTTTTATAGGCTAAAATAAAATTTTGACCTGCTGCAATTTATTTTCTGGAAAATATGGTAAAAGATTATTTCTCTAAGTTGTACTTCAATAATCAGTTTTATTTACGTTTAACAAGAAAATGCTATTTCAGACTTATGACTTAAAAATTTCATTTCTTTCTAATTATTTGTGAAATTTACTAGCGTTTTCTGTGTAAAAATTGTTTCAAAGTAAATCCTACACCAAATGTAGGATTTCATTCAAATTCATGCAATTCATTCATTCAGTCAACATAGTGACTATGTTAATGCAGCTGGCCACTGTTTGTGTTAGTTCCAGTAGGTGGCGCTGTGCGTGTCACAGTAACGTACCTCCACGACGCCGATGGGACAGTGGCAGCCGCTCGGCTCAAATGCGTCCCAGACGGAGGAACGTTTCCCTCATTCTCCTGGTGTCTGAACCATTCCTCCCTTCCAGCAGAGGACGACGCTCACGCGGTCACTCATCACGGTCAGATCTTGATCCTCACAGATGTCAGCGCTGGGTTTTACCGCTGCAGGGTGAGGGACAGTTTTAACGACAGCTCAGTCTGGGTGGAGAGCGAGGACATCTTTATTCAGAAGACAGGTGAGCGTGTCCTTCACGTCCAGTCAATTTCCACAAAGACGCAGAAGTCGATGAGGGTTTTGTTTGTTCTCACACAGATTTGGCAGCGACGCCCGTGGAGGTCATTGCGTTGGTTTTCTGTGGTTTCCTGTCGATTGTGATCGTTTTAGGCTCATTCTGTATGTTCTGGAGCACCAAGCGCAGAAACAACAGCTGCAAACATCACAGTAACCGTGAGTCCACTCGTTTTATCATGTGTTAACGTTCTCAGAACGTTTGGTTAACGTTCTGTAAGGTTCTCTCAAAGTTATGAAAAAAAGTGCTTCCAGTAACATTAATAGAACATTCGTTCAAAGTTTTCTGGTCTTTAAAGGGGTCATAGGATGCTACATGCACTTTTACAAGTTGTTTGAACTGAAATGTGTGTTGGCAGTGTGTGTACACAACCACCCTATAATAATCCACCCAGTGTTTTTTTTTAATCTACTCAAATCTTTACCTCCGCCCTGAGTGAGCTGTCATCAGTCCGCCATTGTTTCACCGCCGGAGCAGATGTACACAAGAATGACTCCTAAGCGATTGAGGTGTTCTGTTGTTGGATGTAATAATGAATAGCAGTCGTCATTTACTCCCGACATCTGAGCCGCTGAAGACGCAGTGGATTATGTTTGTTTCTGAAGGGAATGCGCGCCCGATCTAAATAAACGCGTTTATGTTCGCATGAATCATTCGTGATCCAGCTTCACCTCCAGAAGAAGTGAGTATAAGGGTTTGTAATGAATCTTTGCAAATCGCCTTTCCTAATAACGTGCTAATTAGCAAGTTTCACGATGAATGCGGCTGAAGTAAACAGTCTCTCAGAGAGCAGCTCGGAAGAGAGGGGCGGAGTCAGCAGAGCTCATTAACATTTAAAGGAACATGCTACAAAACGGCTTGCTTTGAAAAGAGCTGTTTTTCGGGTAAAAAAGGTGTTTTTTACACTACCATTGAGAAATTTTAACCAAACTATGTTAAAGACTTCATTAAGACCCTAAAGAATCGTATCAACTTGTGGAAAATGGGCATCCGATGACCACTTTAATAATGTTCTCAAAACATTAGCACAAACACATTACATCGTTCATGGAACGTTTTCTCAATTTCTCAATTATTGCCAACTGTAAAAGTTCTCAGAGTTCTGAAAATAAAAAACATTCTTCTAGTAATGTTAATAGATGTTCGCGCAAAGTTATTTTCCTTCTCTGTGGTCTTTAATAACGTCTTCAAAACGTTAGCATTATTTACACATCGTTCATGGAACATTTTTCTGAAACATTTTTGATGGACGTTTGTCTAACTTTTTATTGTTATTTTCTATTACTATAATTTTCATATTTTTTATTTATAACAATTATTATTGCCAACTGTCAAAGTTCTGAACAAACGTTCTTCTAGTAAACTTAATAGAATGTTTGTTGAAAGATATTTTCTTTCTTTATGCTCTTTAATAATGTTCTCAAATGTTAAGATTATTTATAAATCGTTCATGGATCATTTTTCTGAAACATTTTAGTTGAATATTTGTCTAACTTTAAAAAAAAATTTTAATACGTATACCCAGCTAACATGGAATGTTCTCAGAACTTTGAGTAATGTTCTAAGAAATGTTCTCTCAAAGTTATGAACGAAGTAACGTTAAAAGAACGTTTGTTTAGAGTTATCTGGTCTTTAATAATGTTCTCAACACATTAGCATTATTTACACTACTGGTCAAAAGTCAATAAATGTTTCTTGAGCAGCAAATCAGCATATTATTATGATTTCTGAAGATCATGTGACACTGAAGACTGGAGTAATGATGCTGAAAATACAGCTGCGCATCACAGAAATACATTACATTTTAACAGATATTCACACAGAAAGCAGTTATTTTAAATAGTGAAAATATTTCACAATATTACTGCTTTTTCTGTACTTTGGATCAAATAAATGCAGGCTCGGTGAGCAGAAGAGACTTCTTTAAAAAACATAAAAAATCTTAATGTTCTTTTGACTGATCGTTTTTCTGAAACATTTTAGTTAAACATTTGTCTAACTTTTTAAACATCAATACTAGCTTCAGATGGTTCAGAGAACATTCAAAAGTAACTTTCCAATAATGTTTGAAAAATTATAAAACGAAATGTTCCCTTAACGTTTTTATTATTAAATTATTATTTAAACCCTTAAAGTATTGTTTTCATAACATAAGTAAAAAGTTTTGAAAAAAAATGTTTTTGTTAGCATTGTCAGAGGGTAATTTTCACGCTGTTCTTTCTCTTTTTGTCAGAGGACGTGATCCAGTCTGAGATGATAACGTGAGTCTGGTTTAGTCTCTCTCAAGCTTCATTCGGCTGTGATGCTGCTGTAAAGAACGCTTCTAACCTCTCATCTGTTCCTCTCTGCAGAATGAATGATCCTGTAGCTGATGTTTCCTCTGAGCCTCAACCTGTGGAAATAAAAACAGTCATCATGGAGTTTGAGGCCTAGAGGTCTAGACCAGTGTCCTGCAGAGACGTCTTGAAGATTCTAGAAATCCTGAACACTTTGATTAGCTGTTTAATTAAGGTGAAAGATGAACTCTGACTGGACATCAGTCACTACTGAGCCATTTTCCTGTTTTTAAATTATGTTTTCTATCAATGAGATTGTAAGGCTTTTATATACCAAATAAATGTTTCATTTACCAAATGCTTCTACTGAATATATCCTTTCTATGGAGAGAGATTCCCTAATGAAAACATCTCTCATAAGGCAGTTTTTATATTTAATTTTATAGTTATGTTCATATTTTGTTGTTTAAATATAATCCTTTAAACAGTGGCTGTCATAACATAATGGCTAATAGCTGTTAACATAAGTTAAATAATGAAGACGTTGCGTAAAAAACATTTTAATATGTTATAGAATGAATATATTTATCAAAATGCTCCTCTCTAGAGTTATTTTTCTTGCTGAATATCGAGTTTATGCTCATTGAAGGCTTTTCTGAATGTGATGTTATTGTTTACAAGCTGGTTTACTTACCTCTTTCCGCGGTTGAAACACAGATTGAATGATTAGACATGATTTATTTCAGTAAGTTGTTCTGTTTCTTTCAACATACCTTCTGATGATCATTCATGTTTATTTCGTGTTATAACTAGTAGTAATGAAGAAGAGATCATGATCGGTTGAGGCCGCCAAAACGACATTGTTTGCATTTCTTGATCAGTTTGACAGAATTTTGATGGAATTTGAATCTTGAGATTTAAGAATTGATATTAAGATCACTTAATAAAGTAAGTTTAATCGATGAACTTATATAACCGTCAACCAAGCCCTCAGTTTATGATGGGATTTTTTACAGCTTTACACCAGTAAGTTGCGCTGTTGCCAAACTCGGTGTACTGAACCGAATTCACATACTAAGTTTTAATAATATGCCAAAAAGAGACTTATTTGGCGTTTTTGCCAGTTTTGTTGGTGCACAAAAGTAAAAATGATTTTAAAGTACCAAAAGCAGCTCTTGTCCATATCTGACCAAACCTAGATGAATCTGAAAAAAACTGTTTTAACTAAATTATAAGTTTAATAAGAGTCATGATGAACGATTTATAATTTTCCCGTCCTGAAAATGTTCATCTCACTATAAAACTTACTAAACTTTACCAAATGTTTTGATACAACAACAATATATGACAGACATCAAAGAACAAACACACTGCTGCAGGCTGCATTGGTGCAACAACACTTATGTATATTGATTATATTAGTGCAGTACATTGGTCATTTATGTAGATGTTCTCTGCAATCCTCTTTCTTGAGTTGTCGTTCGCACTGGCATCTGCCCTATCTGTCCTCAACACATGTGCTGTTTAGGGTGGGTCTCACTGTGTCTATGTCAAACTGCTTTCACTGCTCCATTAATAATAAAGTTCTTGCTCTGGTGCTTGCATCTGGATATTGTGCTCATTTCTTCAGCAAGGATGGAATCGATGCATCTTACACTCATTCTCATAGGTGGAGGAAACTTTTGCATTTTTGATGGATGTTTTCATGTGTTGAAGTCTGTTTTCATATGCATGTTATTTTCCACCAGGTATTTCGGTTTTGCATCCAAGGATGGGTAAGTGACTTTCTTGCCATGTTTATCTGGGGCTTTATAGATAATTACAGTTGAATGAATACTGATTATATGTTTAATACCCTCAGAAAGTGGAAAGGTCAAGGGTTTCGATTCCCAGGGAATGCATGAACTGATAAAAATCTATATATTGAATGCAATACGTGTCGTTTTGGGTAAAAGCATCTGCCAAAATATGCATCACTGTAAATGTGCTCTTCACACAAGTCAGTAACATCATAGCACAGCATGAAGTCAGTTCTCCACAATCTCATTAACACGATCCACTAGCCACAAACAAACTAAATACTGTCTTCATCTTCAACAATAGATCTATTGATCTCGCATTTCAAACCCAACAAACTTCTGTCTGTTAAATGTTTTGCATGTAAAAAGTGTATGTGCATTGTTATTTCCAATAAATGACACTTGTTTTTATATTTTGTTGTTTAATGCAGTGACATTTTTAAGCATGTGCTTAATGTCCAAGAACATGTAGGGTAACTGGGTCTGTGTTCAATTCATTTTCTGTTGCAGATGCTCTAGAAAAGCTTGATGAACCGGTTCTGTCGGGTCCGTCTGATGCATTAGAAGGTTCAGTTGTGGATTTCTTCTGTGGTATTCCTGAGAAACCGGCAACGTTGTCTGTCCAATATGAGCTTTATGTCGAGACAAACCCGGGTAAGATGATTGGGGAGTACTCCTCGCTGTCTGGAGAATTTGCCACTTTTTCTTTGATAATCACCGAACAACATGACGGTCGACTCATCTGCAAGGCCAGCGGACACAATGACACCGATATCGAGAGCTCGTTCAGTAATGGCATGGACTTCAGAGTCATTGGTGAGTGGCGTGATGTGAGCGTAATCCTCCCTGTTGAAAAAAACAACATATGCTGGTTAGGTATGGTTTGACGCTGGGATGCTGGTTTAAGCTGGTCCTTTGCTGGTTTATGCTGGTCCTATGCCAGCACATGACCAGCATAAACCAGCA